AACAGTTTTTTGTGAAAATTTAATTTTTCACATATTGGCATTTTCAAGGTGTGACTTTAAAGTTCCATGATCTTGAAGACTTTTGCTTGTCACATTTTCTGAATGTCCATGTTACTAATATTTTATTAATAACATTTGATTGTCATTATGCTGTTAAACATTATGTAATGTTGCATCAAAATTTGAAGAAACCCCTATTTTGGGCACTGCTCCTATGATGACCATTTAAGGGAAATCATGTCACTTACTGTTCTCAAACTTACAGGAAAGAAACATGGGTCTAACATACAGCTTCAATAGGCAACGCAGTCTGTTTGGTAAATTTTTCTGGCAATTTAACAGTTTTTTGTGAAAACTTAATTTTTCACTTATTTGCATCTTTATTTTCTGTTCTTTGTCTGTACATTTGACAGCTTTGCTGCCTTGTTTCATTATAATGTTTTGTCAACTATATGTTTAGTTAACGTGATGTTGAAAGATCATTATCAATTGCTGCTCTAAAAAGGTAACAATTTGCATTGTGTTTTGTTGTGTTAGGAATGGGAGCAGAAAAAACCAGAGTTTTCTGCATTCAGGCGTGCTCAGGAAGAAGAGTCGGAAGTAATGGGTCTAAAGTTCAATGCTTTACTTATTACACCTGTGCAAAGAATACCAAGGTATAAAATTTTCAAATAATTGCAAAAATTCTTTTTTTTTCTGTCTTAGAAAAATCAGTGCAATTAATGAATTGCAGAAAGTTGTTCTGCAAGCCACTTCATTTTAATTAGTACTTATGCGTAAAATAGTTTTAAAACACCAATTTTCATTTTTGGCCTGTCTCTCATAAGTATATGGTAAATGATGCCTTTGTGATGCTGATGGGTGTATGTATTTCAGGTACAAGTTATTACTTGAAGATCTTCTAGAGAACACCCCACCTGAAGATGATGATTATAAAGCATTAAAAGGTACTAGTGTTATGAAATGTAAATATTAGAGATGGAATCTTTGAAGTCTGTAGAGTGAATGTTCTGTTTCACCCAGAAATACAAAATCAAATAAGTCCCCCCCCCCCCCTCCAAAAAAAAAAAAAGTAAAATAATAATAATAAATTGGACTCACAAAGTACTAAAGCAACACTACAATTGGAACCATGGAGAAAGATAGAAGTTTTCTTTCTCCCACAACTGAGAATTGGTCCTTGAGCAGACCAAGCTGTCTGACCTGTCATGTGACCAACCCCAGGGGTCATTGACACTCGTTACTCTGTTGAAGATCGGTGGTCATAATTACAACATTGGTTTATTACTTTGTTAGTCCAGTATTAGTTTTATTTTCCTCTCTTGTAGCAATTGTTGTCCATACTTAAAATATGTTGGTATGTTTTGTTTTTTCAGCCCCTTTAGAAATAAAAAATGTGTTCTCTCAAGTGTTTAATTTCTGATTTATCCACAAAGATGCAGCGATAATGATAGCTGGGGTTGCTGCACATATCAACGAACACATAAAGGAGCATGACAACTTCCAGAAGATGCTGGCAATACAGAACAATTTGACAGGGAACACGGCTCCCAGGATTGTTGCTCCTGGAAGAAGATTCATCAAAGATGGCATGTTAAAAAAGGTATAGTAGTCTAAGAACCCTCTTTATCTAACAGGCTAAAAATTTCAACTTTAAACTTTAAAGTAAAATTACTTGAGACCTGAGATTTGGCAAAAAGAAGTTGTTCCTAACAATTTTTCCATGAACCAAAGCATTTTACTGCTCTCGTAATTGCAAGCTGGTAATTTTATTGTTGAATAAATGGCATTCTAACAAAATAATTTTTTTTCCTTGTTCACAGGTTTCAAGGACAGGTGGCTCATCCCATGAGCGTATGTTCTTCCTGTTTTCAGACATGTTGCTGTATGCCAAACCTGTCAACTCCAAGTACGTGTGCTGCTGTGTGTTTCCCCTCCACCACTGCTATGTGGAGAGAATGCTGGGGGATTTGTTTAAGGTGAAGAACTTAGTTACCTTTCATCTGAGCAATGAGCTCTTTTTATTTCTGTCAAATACTTTGAGTTATAATTTGTGTTTGTATCATTTTTCATCAAGAAAGCTTGCAGGATTTCGCTAATATGAGGCTAGAAGACGGACATACCGTTCGCTGTGTCTAGTAACGAACTGAATGATTGAAAATCTAAACGACAGTTTTTGACAAAATTAATTACTATCATAGCGATACCTTTCCTCAGACTTCAGAATTATGCAGGTGTAGTATTTAGCTTATACTTTTAACCAGGTGACATGCAAGAATGAGAGTGTGTTGTTGTTCTCGGAAGACAAGAAGACAGTGAGTTCCTGGATAACAGCTCTAGAAGAGGCAATAGGGTAAGTAAAAAAATGTTTGATAGTGTGTCATAGAAGTAAATTGATTTACAAAGTAAGTGGCAGAGAAAAGGTAGTAAAACTGCCTGTAGTGTACTTAAATTTTAGGGCCTCTTGAAGTATCACTGGTACAGCCTGTCTGGCCAAGTATGCTGCTCCATTTGGTACTTGTATTTGTTCACATGTGAAGTGGTGGTTCGGTTTTCAAGATATGATAATGTCCTTATATTTTCTGCAAAATAAGAAGAAAATCTTCTCTTGTTTCCTTGGTTTTTTTTTGTACAGTTTGTTAGAAATGTATATGTATATTGAAACCAAATTTAAGTGCAGGGATAACCAGTATACAAATAATTAAAAAGCAACAAAGGCATGTTCTGATGTCAGCTGAGATCAAGATTATGATTTTCATGTTACTTTCCTATGAACAATCTATGTTCTGAGAGTGTTGTTGTTTTTTCCAGAGTAAACAAGGAGTGTAGGCAGACCCTGAGAAAGGAGAGCAGTGCCAAGCAACCAATGAGGAGGACGGGGTTTCTGAGGATGAAGAAACAGGAAAAGAGAAAATTATCAGATGATGTAATAAAGGATTTTCCCTGCATTTTTTCTTAGACAAAGTTACTTTGTACTTCAGCTTATATGATTCATCTGAAAGTGAATGTTCATCTGAAAGTGTATTGATTATTCATTTGTTGATAAGCAAAGATTCAATTCCTTCTTGATATTTGAAAAATTACAGATTCTGTAATGCATTAAATGTATAATTGTACCATCTGTGAGATTATTTAGAGATAGGAATTGACAATTAAAAAAGTAAAGTGATGTGCACTGTATATTATTTTTCAGAAAAAGGAAAATGGAAAAGGCAGTAAAAAAGGTTCAGGGGCTGCGGTTCCTGTGAAGGCACAACTCAAACAGCTCCTAGAACAGAACATGTCTTGTATAACTCCAAGGAGGAAGAGAAGGAAATTGCTCAGCAGTACCAGTAGCAACGATGGCTGTGATGTCCCCAGTAGTCCAGAGAGTTGTGAAAACACATCACCTAATATTGATGCTTTTGATATGGATGACTCTTATCAAACAGACCTAAAGCAGGCATGTAGAACAGTTCGATTATATATTGTAGACATAATATTGTCAATATTAATGACTTTCAAAGTATATTTCTGATTAGTATGTGTATTCACTGTTTAACATAAATAGATAGTTGTTCTTTGTAGAATTGCCAATTTTATTTCAATTAAAGAATTTGGGCATTTCTTTTAAATCAAATATAAAAATAACTGGAATCGTTGAACAAATCTTTTTAGCAGCCCCAAGAACTATCTGTCATCAAAGAACAACTGGAAGAAGAAAACAGCTATGATAATGAAGACCAGGAAGAGGACTATGACAAAGGAAATATTTTCATGACTTCTGCTGAAATGGATGCTTTTGTGACTTCTGAGATAGATTTGTCATCTGAGAGTGAACCTTGTTCCTCAGCAGATACCTCTGATCAGCAGCAGATGATATCTAGTAGTGGCAGTGGACAGGAGAGCTCAACGGAAATTTATTACACGAGTCATGGTGCTAATCTCAGGTTTGTTGTTTCACTCGATTACTCTCTCCTCTCTCCCTTAAAATTATATTGAAAATTGCACTGAATTCATGACTTTTAAGGCAAAATTTGCCCAAAAAATATTTTCCATTTTTTGTTGATTTACTTAAAAGTTGTATTTTAAATTGATGATGATATGATAGTAGCACTTTTGAATTATATTTTTTTGATAATAAGTTTTTTTAAAACAAAATATTATCTGCTATTTTTTGCCAGGAATTCATCAGTTCATCCACCAGGTCTAAAGAGAAACAACTCATCATGTGTCATTTCCTAGGTTACACAAGGGACCAGCTTAATGTGACTGTTGCTCAGTGTTTTACATAAAGATACACTTTGAATGAGAAATTATCATTTTAATGCATATATCTGTTTCTGTTACTTTGTTTTATGAACCAGAAATTTTATTTACACTATATATTCTTTATAACATAACTTATTATTAATTGCTAGTTGCAAGTTGACTGTGATGTTAAGCAACTGCATTTAAATGGACATTAATTTACAAGGTTTTCTTTGTTAAAAAAAGGGTTTTACAGTATTTGGGTTTACATTACAAATAAAATCAAATAAAGGCACATAGCTTTTAAATACTAACAAGCACAGCTTATGTACCTGTCTTAATAAAGAGCCTGTCTCACTGGGTTGTGTGTCATGAATAATTACTATTTTATGTGAATAATTATATGCATCTTTGATTTAGAGGTAACCGAATAAAAAACTTTATATTGCTACATTGTGTCTGTTGTGTGATTGTGTCAAAATTTAAAATTTGTGTTAAACAGAATTATATGTGTAGCTGTAAATTTTGAAGGATAGAGTTCAGAATAAATGGGAAAGGTTTATGGAAAAGAAGTGAAACTACAATCAATAGGTAATTGAGTATTTCTTTACAATAAATGTTTATTTCTTTGATTTTAAAGTGACCAGGGAAGATTAAAATGGAAACTGAAAGGTGTACTGTTGCCTGTGTACCCAAGAGGTTAATGAAGATAGATGCCATTTTATTCTTCATTGCATAAAACAAACCTTAGTGATCATAGTAAAATATTAATCCTAAAAGTTGATGCAAGGTCACCAGAGAGTAAATTATACAAAGTGTTTAACAGTGCCAACAAAGATAATTTAGTCTCCCTTTCCAACTTTATAATGAAATAATCTAAGATATGGAGTGGAGTAATTGCTCTACTTGGTAACTCCTAGCATATTTTTTTGTAAAATTTAACTACATATGTTATTGTGTTACACATAATCGTAAATATATGCTGCATGATACATTAGTAAACACCAAGTATCTCACTATTAAGTTGGAATACTTTAAGAGTAATTTAACTAGTGCATTTTTCCATTGTGCAAAGATATATTTGCTCCTTTACGTATGGTATTATTATTATTTTTATTATTTTTTTAATTAATTTAAAAAGTAATAAAATTTTAAAATCTATATGCACCAAAAAGAAATAAATTGAATTAAATTAAAAATTATACCAACTTCAATAACACAGTTTTGTTAGTACTCTGTAATATTTTTAAAAGTAAAAAGTCCCTAAAAAGAAAAATCAGGGAAAAAAAACTCATCATCTGCTTTGCATGAATTATTGCAATGTAAGGTTCGCCAAGTTACGCTCTTCAGTGATTGGAGGTAAGGAAAAAGTGTACTTTGATCACAAAGGGGCGAAGAAAATTACCGTAAATTCGGTTGATTACCCAAACGATGGTCTTATTAGACCTTAGCAATGACCGTGTTCAGTGAAGTAACCGCTGTGGTTTCTTCTGATGTGATAAAAACGGTGCCACTCTTCGCCAAGTTGATTTCTGATCTTGGAGGTGAATATGGACTTGACTGGTATTACGAGTTGAGCAATGGCGAGCCCGTAAGTATGCCGTTCATTTGCGGTATTTGCAAACCTTTCTTGGGGGGTTGGCATAAGCAAAGAATAAAACCTGTGTTCATTCACGAACATGCGACATACTTACTTATAAAGGCAGTGACTAGGGAGGTGCCATCTAAACCTCCGTTTTAAGCCTAATTTTGCTCATTATACCGCTAGCCACTGGAAGACATGAAAAAGGTATCCCATGTAATGTACTGTATGTACGGTGGTATTGGCTGCAAACTCTTCTCCTGTTTATACTATTGCACTAATAGAACATATTTTAGTGTCACAAGGAAAACTAATGAATTCTCATTGCAAAATTAAGCTATGAACTGTGAGTCATTGTAAGCCAGAAAAGATAAAGTAATCTTCAAGTGCAGTCCTCTCCTGTGATCACTGCTGTGTATAATGTGCATCGTACTACTCTGTACATGAGTATATTAAAATGTGATTTATCCTTTGCTCCAGTTAAGCATATCTAGTTATATTTTGAACATTTATTTATCTCTTGCTACAACGTGTATCTGTGTACTTACATGAACATTATTGTGTCTTCCAGAGTGGGACCTCAGTACAAACAGTTCCAGATGACGTAGGCGCCTGTCTCCTCCATGGGACATGGAACAATATCAAAGAATTCCATGATGTCTTAGATACCAAGTACAGGCAAAGTCAGGCCCTTAGAAAGATACAGGACTTGGCCTTCAGTAAACAGGCTCTGATAGCTGATGATTCAGATAGAAATGAAAAGGTTGGCTCATCAAATGGAAATGTTGAAGAAAAGAATGAAAATAAAGCTGAAGAAGAAGTCCCTGAAGAGGGAATGCAGTCAGG